TTTCGAAGTAACTAGTGATAGAGACCAAAGTTACTCGAACATTGAGATTTGAATTTATGATGTTTATGAATTTTCATGAACAAAATATAAAATTCTTTCAAAGGAAATTTTTTAGAAAAAAATAATATTTTCTCAAATATAAAATTCACCATTTAGCTCGAAGATCTAAACATGTAGTCAATCATCTGGTTGTTATACTTATGCTTGGGAACTCAATTAACCCCTGTGTCAACAACAAGTTAATTGAAAGATAAAGATGAATTGTGGGAATTAAGAACATGGTTGAATTGTGGGAATTAAGAACATGGTTCTGATGTCATTTTATAGATGTACAAGAATTATCTGTGCCGAGGCTCATTTCGTCTACAATCAATCAAGTAGTTCTACAAGCCATCCAACCACTGTGCTAGTATTCCATTTTTAGTTGAAGCACAATAATAGTGAAGATTGAAATGTAGTCATGAAGATCATAGCTGGAGTAGTTGCAAAGAACTAATGAGTCTTCCTATGTCAAGAGTCATCTATGTCATAGAAAGGACTCATGGTTGTACAAAGTACCTTAACTTTGCTAGATGTATTCAATCATTCAATAAGCAAGTGAAAGATAAAGCATTAAACATAAATAAAATGCACAAATATAACTTCCAAATGATTTATACATGTCCATCACCTCTTACTAAAGAGTGAATGAGAAACTACTCACTCTTCATGGCTTTGAGAAAGCTAGAAAAGTGAGTGATTCTAATCCCTCCAAGTAGAGGAGTTACAACATACAATACAATACACAATGAACCTATCTTCGACAAAGAATGAGTGAATCACTTTCTACCTCTAAGGCTTTAAGCAAGCTAGAAAAGTGAAAGAGTTTCACTCCTTTAAGGGAAGAGAGAAGCTAAAACAATTGAAGCTAATGAAACTAATAATGAAAAGAGAAAACTAGTAACTTTGGAAGGTTTCCTCCTCAACCAAAAGATGATCTATCTCTCTCTATGTATGTCTATCTATATCTAAGTGTAAGCCCCCCTTTTTAGCTCTCCAAAGGGGAGGTATTTGTAGGCAAGGAGGAGGGGGTAAAGAAATAGTTCAAAGTCCTCAAAGTCCAAGTGAATGTCCCAAGATCCGGATAGAAAATCAACACTTTGCATTCTATCTAGGGAGTACGTTCGAACATGGGATGGCATTCGAACATTGACTCCTGTCTTCTATGATGGGCGTTCGGACGCTGAATGGAGTTTGAATCCACAGTAGATAGAAGTCAACAAGCAAGGTCTCATCAACCTGGCAGTCTTTTGTAGGAATTCAAATAATTCAAGAGAGCGTTCGAACATGGATTGGGGTTTGAACGTTGTACTAAAGTAGCCCTTTTCTTTCTTTGAAAATAACTGCCACACGCCATATGCTATCACCCTAGCAATGATCTAAGAGCCCTTAAATAATTCAGAATGGTGCTCGAACGTGATAGCTTTGATTCCCATTCTCCAAATCTCTTCCAGAACAAGTGGGTGTTGCTTGAAATTTTGGTATTCATCTACTTTAGGCTTTTGTACCTTTTTTTTCGTAAAATGTCATCATTTAAACTCCCTCAAAGCATAATTAGTCTTATAAAAGTATAGTAAGATGCTAATTTTAACTATTTATCAATAAGCGGCTTATAATTTAAGAACCTATGCATATTAGTTCAATGTGTTTGAGACATGGCACCCATTTGTTAATTTAACCATGGTTAGTGCGGTCAGCTGCTCCTACATGCAAGCAGCACATGGATACCCTAATCAAAGGGCTATTCGATAATAGGTACATGGGTACATCACACAAAAATCTCAAATGGAAATGTCTTGTTTTTTAAACTTGGTTTAGTTATTTATTGTTATCTTCACTTTTTATTGCTTAATCTTAATTACTTATCCTAGCTATTGTTTGTATTTGTGTGTACCCTTCTGTTGTTAAATAGAGGTCTACTTGAGTATTGGTAAGTATTTTATGTCTGTAGAGCTTGTTTCATAGATAATATCCCTACTCGAAATTAGCAACATTAAGTTTGGCGTTAATTACATTTGTTGTTTTGTATTTTTCTAGAGGAAGGTCTGCACTTATTTTGATATATTTTGTCCAAACTTTCTTGGTCAACTAATTTTGCTTTATCTTGTTCTTCAATTGAGGTTGTTTGTAAGATTAAGAAAAGCATTAAAAATTCTGTTTCATTTTGTCAACAGAGTATGTTTTTATAGCAGTGCTATTTGATATATGACTTTTGGCTATTGGAATGTTGAGTTATATGTTTCTTTCCAACTTTAACTTTAAAGAGAAAATTATTAAATTATCAAAATCATTACCTTTTTATGCCTCTGTGTATAACCTTGATCAACAGATGGATCTTTCATTTTTCATATATTTATATGATAGCATTACTTTTGGAATCAAAGTGAATATGGCTTTGTAGTTTAGAAAGATGCATAAGAGGGTTAGAGATTGAATAATCACCATGGATGTAGCATCATGGGTTCTGGTATGTTCAAACCTTAGACTACTATTTCTTGTTGACAAAAGAATTTCAAGTACAGTCGAATTTAGCAGTATTTGAAACTAGGTATATTGAATCTGAATAAAAGTGAGGATTGCATGCATGATTTTAGAGTTTTAGTTATTGGTCAAAACCAAGTCTCTGATTTTTTGTTGGGATCGAAGTGAAATTCTTGGGTTCTAGAGCTGAATGAGAGCACTAGAGATTCTATGATCACGATAGCCCGAGTCTCTGAATTTTCTCCTACAGAAGTTGTTTCTTAATTTTACTCTATCGCACTATCCCTCCCCCATAATATTTCCTCCTTGGATACAACTGCTATAAATAAAATAGAGCAAACTTCAATAAGCCCATCCGACGGTTTCAAATAGACTCATCCAACGACCACCAATATCCCTTTCATAACCATTTACATTGCATCATGTCTTCAGGCACGGGTTATCCCTAATAAAGTAGAGCGACTTTTGAATTTTAAAGATAAAGAGCGGTTGAGATATTTTTGAGACCAAAAAAAGTATCATCCAACGAACGACGCTATTTCAAACTATCTTGAGCTATTGATGTCTCAAATGATTTCAAAAATTTTGATCCAAAGCACCATATTAACTTATGAGATTTTTATCCTGCCCTAAATTTTTAATTTTTGAATTCCCTCATAATTAGGTCCTAATTTCATACTTTTAATGTGTTTAACGTATTTACTAAATATTTACCCTTTTCTAATCTTCTCATGCCCTAATGCCATGCTCCCTCCCTCTCTTTCCCCAAATTCAAAGATCCCTATATTTCTTACGCCCTAATTTCATTCTGCTCTTTCTCCCCCTCTATCTACCATCTTTATTATCAATTAGGCACCGCCGCTACCCATCCACCGTAGCTGCCCAAACATCGCCAACGACACCCAATGATCATAACCACTCAGTTCTGTCTCCCATTCTTAGGTAACTCTCCCCCTCTTTTCTATCTGCCAAATTCTACCATCTCTCAACCCTACCTGAATTCCCCTCCCCCATCCATCCCTGTTGACATCCCTTTGGCATGCTCTCAATCTCCCTATACCATGCGCTAATCTTCTACCTCCCTCACTCTTTTTCACTCTCTTCTATCTGAAGCACTCCTCGACGCCTCTCTCTCTTTTACTTCTCAGTGTCTTTGCCCTCATCTCTTTTCTCCCTGTCAAATTAGTGACAGTATTTTGGTTTTGTTGCTTGCCATAATCGTTGACACCAATCAACACCCTCGTCCTCACCCCATAGCCACCAATCATTTGTTGCTCTCCCCTATGACCACCAAACCTATGATGCCCCAATATTCGGGTGTCTGTAATTAACTCGTTGATCACCTATCCTCCCACAGAATACCCGTGAATACTGTGTAACTTGATACCATGTTGTTATGCCCCATTTACCGGGATTGATAACTTAACAAAATTTGTACAGAGTCTCCTTTGTACGGTGAGCTTTACCTAAAACACAACATTGACTACACCGGGTTCATTCACCCATAATCAATTGTATAGTATTGGATACTACCATAATCATCATCTCTATTTACATTCATTTACAAAAGAATAAATGTCTCAAAAGAGTCTCATATAATACTTTTTTACTATAAAATAAGTTTTTGTTTACAAAAATTATACAAAGCCAAAAGTAAACATATACAAGGGACTATAACGTCAAAATAAGAGCCACAACCTTGCTCGGTCATCAAAACGAGCCCATAGGAGGGCCTTCGGTGGAAGCTTGTGCGATACCTGAAAAGTATTCTTATAAAGGGTGAGGCAACGCTCAATAAGATAACTTTTATAGAGAATACCTCTCAATCCAAATGCATATGAAATGTCAAATGCAACAATCATTTTATGTATTCATTCATATATATGTATTTTAAATAAATGCCAGAAATTACGCCAATCCGTGAGATGAGACTCACACAAGCAAAACCAACACCGAGATCTATTCTGGGCTCCTACAACATATACAATGTCGTGCGTATGTATCCGGACATTTCAAACATCCACCATTGGTGTTATATACATTCAATGACTAATTAATTTATTTTCTAGTGTCTTTGTGGGGTGATGATTTATGATATTTCACCAAAAAGACACCATAACATCAAAAAATTTTCAGGACATCCCACCTGCGGCTCCGTTTTTGTCGTTACACTTTTCTGGAATTACACCACTAGGAAGTGTGTAAACCAAGTAATCGGGTCTTGCACCTAAGGGAGAATGTAGCCCTTCTTGCTACACCCCGACATGTTTATCCATTTAATTTTCAGTGCAACTTAGTCGGACCATGGTGTGACTTTCCCGAGCACGCGATTAACCCACCTATATAGTGATTTATTTCATACAATGCACACACTCTTACCCATGTCAATGCCCATGAATGTAGTGTAACCTATGTATAATGCAATGCAATATACAAATTCTTTCGGTACCATTTATAATTTCTATTATAAAATGAATGCAATAGAATGAATTTTTCAACACCATCTGACACATGTTATGTGAGATAATCAACTCAACTACATACTTGTATTCACATAGGCATTTAAACAAAAACCTAGAGGGCAAATCAATTTAAACAACTAGAATGCTCATCACTACCAACATGACAACATGTTTATTAATTTTATAAACATAAATAAACGTTTACCATACTAATCATATGCTAAATAATCATTTAACATACATATTATCTCATAATCACATAACAAACTAATAATTTTATTAAACTTGATATGTCATTAAAATATTAAGTCATGCTAATGTACAATTAACATGATTTAAACCACTACCATTAACTTACACGAAGTTAATCATAATAGGATTTTACTAATTGTAAGGTTAATTATAAATCCTATATTTGACCCACTAGTTACACTAGTCAAGAACTAACATGTGTTATACACCCTTAGCCTACCCATTTCATATATTTCAGATTGAAATTACATATAAATAATAAAAATCCTACCTCTCATAACGTGAGCCTATGTAGCAGAACTCCTAAAAAAAATTCTGAATTTAGCTTCCAAAGCCTTAGTCCTATATTCTCGTCTTTAATATTTTTGGAGGAAAGTGCTCTCTTTGGTATTGTTGCATAGTTCATGTTGCGTAGAACAATTTTAACTCTTGACACGAAGCAATCCAACAGTTGGATCTTTATAGATCTAAGAAAGGTGGAAGTTTTCTTTTCTTTTCTTTCTTTCTTTTTCTCTCTCTCTTTTCTTCCACTTTATAGAGTTTTAAATGTTTGGCCCACATCGCGCTATACGTTCAATTTTTAATGGGTCCAATTTTATTCTGTATCAATTATATCACGTCCTGTATTAAGTTTAGTATATTTTTATTGAACTAATTTTAAATTATTTATTGGATCCCATGAATAAAATTTAATTGCAATTATTTTAGTCGCACGACACCTGATCGCTTCATAACACGTGAAAAATTCGATTATCTTAGAATTTGACAAAAATTGACTAGGTAGCTAGATTTTGCAAAACAAATCCAACTATGATATTTTTTTTTTTTGAATTACTAAGCAGGCTCCAGTAGACACTAATTTTAGGGTGGCACAAGAGTTGACTTACCCGAGAATAGGGCCCTAGTGCCGAAGAAACGGGAAAGAGAACCACCTGCATAGAGGGGGCATGTAACGCCCCAAAAACCACCTTGGAAGGCATTACAATTTGAAACCATTCAGATCATGAGAGCAACTAATATGATCCATAAATAAATAAGATTTTATTCATCATTTATAAAATTTACAACATTATCCCAAAAGAATATGCACACTATGACGCTTACATCTCAAAAATTTAATTGTTATAGTGCAGCGGAATAAAAAAGAAAGCTAGACTTCACAATGTTTTTAAAATGAATTATCGAGTCTAGAACAAAAAGGTAAAGTGGCTCTAGGCGTCCACCTTGCAATCCATATTCCCTTCTTTCAAAGTCTCCCAAGGTACCTGCTCATCGCTTCCCAGATCTTCCTCTCGGATATAATATGAGAAATGTTTGTTTGTAGGGGGTAAGCACTAAGCTCTGTAGAAAAAATCCTCTCACACTCGAACAAGATTTAGAAAAGCATATAAAAACGGTCGATTATCTTTCACAAATAGCATATATAAATTTGAAATAAAACAGGGACATTTAAACAGATCTCAAGTTTAAACAACAACAGTAATTTAATGCATAAGTGAAACCAATATACAACTTGTAACTTATTCTACCATAAATCGTTTCTCCCAAGTTCTTACAGAATCTCATGCTCCTAAGATTCTTGTAGAAATCATTTTTGGTACAATGAACAACAACCCACCACTATGATATACGAGTAATAATTCATTCCACCATAAATCGTTTCTCCCAAGTTCTTGCGAAATTCTATATTTTCTAAAATTCTTGTAAAAACCATTTCTAGTAAAATGAACAATAACCCACCACTGTATTCGTATTTTATGTATGAAGTAAGATCTAGCATGGCCACCATCGAAAGCATCATGTCCCACATATCCACAAACACATTCTCGCAAGGATATCCAACCTTTGGGAAGGGCGTGTGTCAACACAATGGCAGTGACGAATCCAACCAAGACATTAGTATACTAATTCTCTGACACAGCACCCATGAGCTAATAGTGGTTTGATTCTTGCAAGGCACCAACCCCACTATGAGTGGTAGGATATGTCCAAACTCGCACAAAATAAGAAGACGTCTACTCACTCCATGATACCCGATCAATTGTACCCCATGTTTATCCAAACAATCACACAAGAGATACAATAACTACAATTCCATCAATAACCAACAATTTCCAAAACCCTCAATTCCATGGGTATTTCCAAGAGCACAAGTAATTTTAACAACCCCCAAATTTTCACATGTATCATTTCAATAGAACATTGAAGAAAATGCAAGAGTTCATCATCCAAATCATTTTATTACTCAACACAAAGTACTAAGGTTTTGAAATCAAGAACCAAGGAAGAATCAAAAGGAAACTTGAAAACTAGGGTTTTAAATCAAGAAAAAGAGATTTTATGGGTATTCAACCCTAACTTTGTTTAAAATATGATAATAATTGCAAGAAGACCAATAAACAAAGAACCCATAGAAAATACATAATATTAGGAGTCAAAACATATATATATATTAGCTCTAGCATCTATGGACAAAAATAAAAGAAAACCCCTACCTTCTTCTTCCTTAGTGTTCTTGAAGAACTTGAGATTTGATCTTTCCCAAACTTGAATCAACCATTTAATCTTTTGTTTTCCCTTTTTTCTTCCTCTCCAAGCTTTTGTAGGGTTAGAAATGTTGAAATGGGCTTAGGGAGGTGTCCTTAGGTATTTATAGTGGAAGAAATGGTGTCTTGTGCGCGATTTTAAGAGTCAGAATTTGTAACTGACGTTCGAACATCATTGGCATTCAAACGTCCTTAGCTCCCAGTACTTTGATTTTTCCATCAGACAAAAAGTACTGGAATGCACTGTCGTTCGAACGTCATTCATGTTTCTGCTGAAACATCCAGTGAAGTTTTGGCATATTTAGAGGTCGATTTGGACAATTTTCATGAAATATATTTTTGTAGCTCTAGAAATCCACTATCTACTGTCAAAATTTCAGATCAAATAGACATCAGGATAAAGAGTTATGATCCAAATACTAGGAAGTGTCCAAAATCCTTTTTACCCAAATTCTCTCTAAAGTATGCTTTTATTCCGGAGTACTTCCAAACTTCTACAACATACCCTATTACCCAACTAACTTTTTTATTTCTACTCTTATAGTCTACATAGTTCATACATACATCATTATATATATTAGCATTTCAAAAACATAATTATGTTGTTATATAAAGATACGAATGTGGGGGTTTACAGGGCACCTCCCTCGGTTCTGAGCCCCATATATTTTCAATGGGTAAACACGGTCTTAAAAGAACCCATTTACAAGATGGTGCACAAGATAAAGAGGGAACCTTTCTTTAAATGGCCCCCAAAGATGCAAGGAGAATCATCCTTGAGGGACTCAACATCTCGATGTTCTTATCATCGAGATGTAGGGCACCTAACTCAACATTGCAGAGTATACAAGTCCTTCCTCTAGCAATTGGTCTGAGAAGGACACCTCAAGGAGTTTATTGACAAATCTTTAAGAGGCACAATGAGGAAAAGGGCTGACGTGTCTTATGAAGTGACAACCATGATCGAAGTAGTACACGTTTTCACATTTAATAGACCCACATATTATTCACTCCAAGCTGACCTCCAGAGAGTCTC